ATATAACTGTGAAATAGACAGAACACGTTGACTTTTTTCTTTTCTGTGTGCGTGTCTTCTCCTTCTGTTTACATACAAAGACAGTCTAAAAAAATACTCGAAGAAACACAGAGTAGCCGATATATAATAGAGTTATTCAAATATGACGTAGATTAACAACTTCTTACTTATGCATATAAAAAGCGACTAACTCCTTAATTTGTACGTAGAGTTACAGATAATTAATTACTACTGAAGTGTGCTTTTTTAAATTAGTCTGCATTAATTTCCGAAAGTTCCAACAGGATTTTTTCGAGCATGGTCTTTAGAATGGACTTACTAAAATAAGAGTAATCTCGCCTTTCATGTTTTTTACTATGAGAATCATGCACACTATTCATAGTCAAACATGTTCATAAAGTAAACTTAACACAGATACATGGGAGGTAACATTATATTTTAAATCTCTAAGCATATCGCCGACAAAAAATTAAAGTTCATTTAGAGTTAAAGAAAAGTGCTTTTTCACATTCAGCACACTTGATAACCTGGAAAATTTTCTATTTTTAGCAAGGGGTACCGCCAAAATGTTAAGAAAAAATTTCAAAGTTGTATAATTTTACCATGGAGATTTTCTGCGTCAGTTTGTTTGAAAATTTTTCTGAACTTTTTGGCGGTACCCCTCTCTAAAAATAGAAAATTTTCCAGGTTATCAAGTGTGCTGAATACGAAAAAGCACTTTTCTTTAACTCTAAACAAACTTTTATTTTTTATTATCGGTGATATGATCATAACAATGTGAGCTGTTCTCTTCATTATATTAGAACTACTATAGACCTGAGCTAATTGACAGCTTATATAACCATTTAAAGCGGTCTTAACCAAACACACATGAGAAAAATTGAGAAAAGAAATTTTGAATGAAAAGAACTGCAAACTCAATACTAAGTTTAAAGTTCTTTTGTCAATATTTCAATTTCTTTCAAGTTTTACTACTATAAAAAATATGTTCGTGTACACCTCGGTGCCTCGAGTGCTTCACAATAGCCATCTGCATGTGTCGTATTTTTAAGAGCTGTGTTGTCTATAAACTGAGTGATACATAGAAAGTGTTTCTATAAGACAGAACTGTTATAAAAGTTCGATGACTGCAAACCCAAGGCCGTAAAAACATGACTGTTTATTTCTCCTCAAAATGGCCACCGATAACATACCATGTTAAAAGCCAATAGACAGTGAAATACTAGTTGACACTGTTAAATTCAATTTAAACTATAATTAGTTCGAAAAAAGTGCACAGACATATTCATGATTCAGCTGTTACTTCTGTATTTTACAAGCAACAGGCAATATGAAAAGAAGAAAGAAAAAACCTATTCGTTCATTATATGAGCGAATGACAGTACGTTCTATTGCCGTATTGTTGGTGTTAATTAAAGATGCCGTTAATAGACTGGTTTCCATATTCTTTCGAACAAAGACGTGTCTGACAAAAATAAAATACAGTCACTTTCTTGTACAATTGGTTCTCCAGCTTATTCTAGAAGCTTAATAATAGTCTTTGTCAATAATATCGAAATTTATCTAGCAGTTAACTTAGTTGAAACAAATATTCCAAAACAAAAATATAAGACTAAAACTGAAGTTAAATTTGTTCAAGCAATATCGAAGCTTTTCCATGTCGTTTTGCAATTATTAACAAATGGAGTTAGTACTCGGCAGTGATTTTTGGTAGCTTTTCAGCCTTTTCAATATTTCACAAAATGAATACATACATCATATCCAAGCTTGCCGAGGGTCTTTCACGTGAGCCGTAATATCCGCTGATAGGCGCGAATACTGTGATGCGGGATCACCAACATTTTGAAGGTTACAAAACTCGAATATTGCATGGCTCTATTACTCTAAAAACAGGGTACATGAATCTCAAAAAGCAATAGCTTAAATTTTGACTGATCAATCAAAACTATTCTCAACAAGGTCTAGTTGATCAAAACTGAATGAACAGTATCGAAGTGAAACATATAACTGTTTTGTCGATTAAACCGGTTGAACAACTAGGAATGTTCTGGCAATAAAAAAAGTCATATTGGGAATCAGGACCAAAAACTGAGTCGATTGACATGTATTTCTGTCCTATCCGACCAATTTCATTTTTATAGAATTTTCACGTTAAATTACGGGGTTTCTGGAGTACCTGTGGAAAACCAGGTCATAGTTGCCTAGACCAATAGGATGGATAGATAGCTCGGAGTGCCCTCTACAAAAACTGGATGTAAGCGACATCTCCAAAATCCATGATTCGGGCCTGACAAGGCTTTTACCCGAAGCACCAAAACTGACCTTCTGTTAGTGTCGAAACCAGTGAACATGATTGTAAACATAGGTTTTCGACTATGCTGAATCTTTTGGCAATGTTTATTTCGTTCCTAGACTAAATTTAGAGCTATTGATGATATATAATTATCAATTGTACGGCTTTTAACCGTGCAAAAACATACTTTTTTCATTTTTTTCCATTCTTATGAACTGAATGTAAAATATCGTGCAAAAAAAATGTTTTCTTCGATGTATCAGAGTAATAGAACGTCCATGAGCAAGATCAGAATAATCAATCGGTGTCGAAAGAGTCGGAATGTACAGTAACAGAACGATAAAACCTAAGACAATAAAATATTTTGAAGAAAAACTAAAAGTACGCACGGATGATTTTTTGAATTATAACGGAAGAAACGAGATAAGTATTTATAATGCCAAGGGATTTCTCAAAAGAGTTTAAGCAAGTCACATTTTCAGTTATAAATTTCGTGGGAAATGAGAAAGACGGCACGCCAATTCGGCTTCACAATGTGAACGATATACTCCAAGCTATGCTTAGTGTCGGTTTATCGATGAAAGAGTGAATTGAAAAATCTGAAGCAAGAAGAAGAAGAGACCGTCCGTCCACTTCGTCGTACATCATCCACATCGTCTTCGTCATCCTCTTCCGCCATTACAGTTTTACCGACACCATCTTCACCAATGAAACATAATGCTGGACGACGTAAAGTGCATGTAACTGAATTACAAAAGGGCACAATTCGTTTAACATTTCACTTATTGTTAAAAGATAGAGTATATCCAACTTTAGAAAATTTATGGTCCACACCGTTAGCACAACAGCCGGAATTGGAAAATGAAATGATTGACAGTGATGATGATAATAGTAACGATAAAATGCAGTCTGACAGTAATGATGATGCTGACGGTTGAACTTGTCATAGCACAATCAAGTTTTGTTTTGCATGATATTTTACATTCAGTTCATAAGAATGGAAAAAAATGAAAAAAGTATGTTTTTTGCACGGTTAAAAGCCGTACAATTGATAATTATATATCATCAATAGCTCTAAATTTAGTCTAGGAACGAAATAAACATTGCCAAAAGATTCAGCATAGTCGAAAACCTATGTTTACAATCATGTTCACTGACTGGATTTTGGAGATGTCGCTTACATCCAGTTTTTGTAGAGGGCACTCCGAGCTATCTATCCATCGAGGAAAATCGGCATAGTCCTATGGCAGTCTTGGAAACCACGACATCGTTTTCCAAAGGTACTTTAGATACCCGGTCTTTGAAATTTTTTCAAAAATGGATTTTACTTATGAAAGCTTCCACTCAGGTCTTAGGTATAGAACGGCGAAAACTGCAGATCTCTATCTCATTCCTATCAATAGTTATTCAAAAAGCAACCACCTGCCTTGTATTTTGGAACCGATTGTAGTACTTTAGAAGAGCATTTTTCTTTTCAATGAAATAACAATAGTAGGACACGACTGTTGTGTTACAATTTCGAGAAAACAAGAAAATCAATTAGTCATTCCATGAATCAAGAATCTAGCAATATTACACTGTGCAGCATGCTGTGTTGAAAAGGCGTGCTTACAATTGTGATATTTTTAATATGGGTGGTTTTTAACATTTCGGCCATTTACTACTCTCCAAAAAAAGGCTCTATACTAAAAAAAACATCAAAACAAAATTTTTTTCTACAAGGTTCTGTACCGGGTATACGAAACCGTGGTTTAATAGCATTAAAGGTTTAGTAGAAATTTTACAAAACCTTACGGGTTTCGTATCGAATTAAACACTTCTTCGATGAAGAAGAATATGTTGAAAAACCAATAAACAACTAGTAGCAGATATTTATTAGTCTTAAGATAGTTATCCAAAGACGTTGTCTATTTGAAACACGCGATTTATGTGAATACCATTAGATGGAGCCATTTTTTCTCGGCTGTGATTGGCCTAATACAGAAACCAATAAATGACAGAATGTGAAAGATGACTATTTTAGTTCTTTGCTTTTTGCATGAACTATAGTCTGCTTCATCGGGGAAAGTTAAATCTACTGTTTTCCCATACCGTTCCTTCCTCGGTTAGTTAAACCAAGTTTAGAAATGACACCGTTCACACGATCTAAAAAAGTTCAATAACGGTTAAGGATTGAGGAACATCTTCTTTTGGAAAGCCATGTATCTTTTTTGCATAGTTGAGTGTACTTGCTTGATTATGTTTAACAAACATAATAAAGCACTTGAGGCTAGCAACTTGAAGTTTAATAATACTTCAAGTTTTATCATTTGCTGATCTTTCATGATTCACTCGTCACATGTGAATAAGAATTAGTATGATGGGCTACTTGATGACTGGGTGGCTGGCTCTATCAACTAAGAGTATTGGGTTATAGAAATTTGGTTAAATAGCCAAGCTGGCAAGTTCCCAAACTGAATTGCTAGATTAGCCCTTTCCAACCGGCTGTTTCGAAAACACAGCAAAAGTGTTGCCAAATGGCAACATCAGGCTGGAAAGGGTAGTATAACAAACTGAGTGTAGAAAAAAGAAATAGAATTGCTTTTTTTTATTTACAACTGATCTAAATCTGATGCACAACCGAGCACAATGACTAATTCTAAGATTCTAACATTGTTTATTCACGAAAAGTGAGAGTCATCAAAGGTCACCGACCTGTACTAACAATGACTCCGAGTGTGTAACGAAATATGACCTATTCTTCCACTCTCTTCCAACCATAATTCATCTCTCTCGCTCATTGTGTAAGGTATTCATTCACTCTCTTTTTGTATGTGTTCAATGTCGCTTTCTGTAGTTAATATCAATATCGAACTTCAGACGTTTTGTACCATTATTGTAAGCATATACTGGTATTTATTCGAAGCTCGTTTTTTCCCTGCTTTTGTACCGCGCAGAACTGGACAAGTCAGGATTTTTTTAAGTCTCAGTCAACGAAAGATTCTTCAAGTCAGTCAAGTCTGACTTGACTTGGAATAGAGGCGTTTTTGCCTTGATTTGCCCAGCTCTGCATAGAAAACGACTCTACTTAGATCTTTAATATCATTTCTCTGTATTAAAAGAATGCGCTTTTAAAATGACTTAAGAGGCAGACAAAATTAGTAGTCGGTCAGAAGATCGGTAAAAACTTTTTCCCAAGTCAAGTCTGACTTGTCCGGCCCCGGTACCACGTTCATTGAAGCCTAAGAAAATACACGTATCAATTTCGCATAAATACTTTTAATTAAATATTGAATTTTTCTGCATGAATCGTAGAAATTAAATGAAAAAATTTGTCTGTAATATACTTGCGGTTACTATCGATATACAGTCCGCAAGGGAGACCTTTACAAGACTACATAAAATCGGCTAGCTAAGAATCATAATTACAAAAGGTCTGATTGAGGAAATTGAGAGGTAGCCGAAATATGATCATTGAGTTTGTACGAAACCTTTTTGTCAATAAAAAAATAGAGGTTTCGTAGCTGAACGCCGCAATCTAGGTTCGTACGAAACTTAAAAGGGTATAGAAATGGTTGCAATTCTCTATACCCTTTTAAGTTTCGTAATAAACCATTTTTTTTAGAGAGTCAATAAAATTGTAATGAATAAAATTACTGAGCTGAGGTTTTTGTAAGCAATGCTTTTGTTGTCTGCGTATAATGATTCGCAATGTTTGCTGCTAGAAGTCCTTCTTCATTAAATATTACAAAAATATTCTTTCGAACATTTTTGTCATTTTTAATAAGACAGAAAGAAAGATTTATTACCAATGATCGTCGTTATGTTTTATTTAATTAGACGAGAGAAACCCATCAACATCATTATAGTTTGAAAATAATTATCAAAAAGACTTAGACTAGAGAATTTCTTTATACAAAATAAAAACTGTGAACAACAATGGTAAAAAAAGGTTTTGGTCATTTTTCAATCTAATAAACAGTGTATGCTATCTCAAATATAGTGCATGCTATTTCAGAAACACAGAATAAGTTCTCTCGGTATATGAATGTTAAAATGAAGGATACGAAACCAGAAATATTTAAATATTGATTCTTATTTCCTTTTCCTATTAACGGTTGAATGAACAAGAATAAGTGATTTTGAAAGCGATCGACAATTAGAACTAGAAGTATTCACTAAGACATTTTTTAATTCAGTTTCTGAAAACTGTACCAAGACTCTTCAAATTTTGTACGATTAATGCTTATTCATATACTCTTAATCAAGTACCAAATGTTGTCTGTAAGGTAAAACTGCAAAATAATATTTCTGATGTGGCTAAATTTTTTTCCTACTTTTTAGGGTTAATAAGCAATCCTTGTAGTAGTTTACTAAAAATGTGTCTAGTAGTTCAACATGTTGGACTTCTTAACTGCTGCTAGTCTGGTTGGTCTCATACTATCGACTACTTTTAACAAGCCACTAATTCGAATATCGCTTAGTTGTAAAATATGCTCTGGTCGACGAATTTTAGCACCCCTGTTAATCCGTTTCTCATATACACCGGCATTGCACGATCTCGGAAAACATTTTAGTCAAGCATGAAAAAAAATGTTTTTTGACGCATCCCATTGACCACTGAAACACGATAGTCACCTATCTTACTACACCTAACCTTTGTCATGCTCCACTTAAGAAAAAATCATCCCGATATATTTGCGTGAGTTGAAACCTCTCTGACACTCTGATTTCGGACTCCCGTGGAGAAGTCCGGTTCATTATGGATTCAAGAGCTGACGAGACACTCCTCTGATTAAATCTAGCCAGAATCTTTTGTTGAAAGAAGGAAAAACATTTCTTCTCACATCTTTCAAATACCTTTAAGAAGTAGGTTCGAAACCTCGTTTCAATCTATTTCTTCTTCTTATTCCCAGACCGTGTGTGCGTAATATTTGAATGTGTCATAGAGCACGTACACGTATAACGTCATCAAAGGACCTCGTTCTGTATAACACGTTCGATTTTCTTTATTATTCTGTTTCGTTTCCTTCTCACATGTGCAGATATAAAAATTATACATGTGTTACGCACCCGATTTTCTGTCTTCTTTCTTGTCGTATTCAGCATTCGATAAAACACGTTTGGCTTGTTGTATACATACTCACAGCCAACTTCACTACCCTGCCCGCACACACATATTTGAAAGCTTTTATCTTTTGAGAGAGATTCCTCCGTACATGTTTTGCACGAAAACATTTATTAATATAACCTCTTGTCACACTTTTTGATTTACACAAAATCTATTAACATCGTTCGACGCTTTACTCGAAAAAGCATATTTTTGTTAGTAGGTTTCACAGAAACGTAGCCTTTGGAAAGTCTTTCAATAAAAATATGCTTTTTCGAGTTTTTCGATCTTATAATCACGTTTATCGCACAACATTCATCATATCCTGTGGTTCGAAACTCGTGAAATTTAAAGGTAGTCACGTGTCTTATTTTTTTAACCAGATAGTAGCATTCTCTCACATTGAAACCACTGTGTGCATTCATCCTTGGCCACAGAAAGGACGCATATGAAAAAAACTTAAGGAGAAATTGCTCCTTTTTTATTCAAAAAATCGATCTTTGATTACACACATTTTTGGTTAAACATAGTCGAGCTAATGTATATACATTAACAAAAGCGACAACAGTAAGTAAATACCATTACAAAGACAAATACGATCACTGGAGAAAGAGGAGAAGCACCTTAAGAAGCTTTTATCGTTTCGTCTATGTTCTTGAGGCAAGAATGAATGAATACAGTGCCTACTGAGTAGTTTACAAAAAATAAACAGTGTCCACTCCCGGAACATAACATTTTATCACTCTAATTACAACTTGATAGACGGTTCAGTTTATATAGGAATGATTTATTTAATTGTGTGGATTTTCGATAGCTTAGGTAACTTTTTTATTAACATAAATACAGTATTAATGTTTCCTTTAGAAAAACTTATACATTAACTTTGACCGCATTCAACAATAGGAGAAATATAAATTTGAATAAGATTATGTATATATACAAAATAATTCCTATTTTGTACTTATTTATGCTTAAATATCTGGTATTCTCAAAGAAAAATCCAACATTCAAAGTCATACCATTGGGTGTCAAAGGAGGATTAATTGAAAGTGATCTTTCCTCATACTTAGTTGCTCCATTTGGAACCAATGATTATGTATGTTTTGATGCTGGAACACTACGTGTCGGAATTGAGAAAGCTATTTCTAAAAGGATTTTTTCTGTTTCAAATGCAGATGAGGTATTTAAAAAATATATCAAAGCATATCTTATTTCTCATGCTCATTTGGATCATACTAGTGGATTAATCATCAATTCTCCAAATGACGTTAAAAAACATATTTATGCTCTGCCAGATTGCATAAATATGATTATAGATAATTACTTCAATTGTCAAAGTTGGCCAAATTTTGGAAATCAAGGTAATGGATTTTTACTTAAGCAATATGAATATCAAACATTAGTAGAACAGCAAGAAACAATGATTACAAATACGACAATGAACGTTACTGCTTATTCATTAAGTCATTCAAATCCCTATCAAAGTACAGCATTTTTACTCCGAAATAACGGTAACTATGTTCTGTATCTGGGTGATACCGGTCCTGATGAAATAGAAAAAACGCATAATCTATCAATACTTTGGACAAATATTGCTCCTATTATAAAAGAAAAGAAATTGAAAGGAATTTTCATAGAAGTTTCTTATCCCAATGAACAACCTGATGACGCGTTATTTGGCCATCTAACCCCGAAGTGGTTAATGAAGGAAATGTCTGTACTGAATACATTAGTCGGTAATAAGAAGCTGTTAAGACAATTTAAGGTAATCATTGTACACCTTAAACCAACAGTTAAAGATGTGAAAAAAATTAAACAACAGCTTAAAAAAGCTAATAAGTTGAGACTGGATATCGTATTTCCTCAGCAAGGTGTTTTATTTACATTGTAATAAAGTAGAAGATGAACAATCAATATATTCTTGTACAAGCAAACTTATAAAAGATTTTCAGTCATAAACAATACTGAGTTGCACTATGGTATATTCATCAATTGCAACTGCGATCCTCGATCCTAATCCCTCGAAGGAGTAAGGAGCATCACTTTTTTTCTGGATTTGCTTGTGTGAAAAACACTTTTGTCCTTTCTTCATTTTATAACAAACAATTAATTGATGTGTCGTTTCTGAATAGTTTAGTATTTTGACAGTGAGCATAAAAGAATAAAAAATGATATGGGATATGTTGGTCTGATATACTAATATTTCTGACAAACGTTCTATAATAGACCTATATCACTCATCAGAAAGCGTGTGTCATAGAGAATTTGACGAGATCTATTCAACTATTCTATTGCTGATGTTCAAAACTCTTTACCAGAAACGGGACAAGTACCGATAGAATTGCGTAATACACCAGGTATTCCGCAAACATTTTCTCTAAAGATCATTATTTATTTAGTATTTATTTTGAGCGTGATGGTAAAACGTGGTTGATGCTGTGCCACAGTGCTAATAAGAAAGTATCCAAATTGATTATGTAACGAAAATCTTAAATCACGGTAGTGATTGATACAGTTTTAGGCATCGCACTTCAAATAACATGATAAGACGGAAGAAATCGCGTACTAGCGTTGGGTGGAAACTATTTTGTGTTGACTATGCTGTAAGTTACAAGAAACTTTGACTGGGACTCTCCTAGATATGAAACGGCGCCAGGTGACATTTGATGTGAGTGGGAATTAGCGATGTTCGGTTCTAGAACCGAAACCACGGCTCCGCTTCCCGACTTAGAATCAAAACAAACGAACGCGGTCTCGGGTCTGAACTTAGAATAGAATCGCGATTCTCGGCTTAGAACCGAAAAATAATTTTTCAGGCAGCAATAGTTCAACGAAATAGAATTTAACTTATATAACGGTCACAACATCCGTTCAAAATAACACAATAATGAAGAAAAAAATTACCAATAACGAGTTCAGCACGACAGTTCAATGAACAGCAGACAGACTCGACAGCACCATTAGCTGATATTCTTCAAAAAGCAATAAAAGACTCTCAAGCAATACTTTTGAATAAAATGAATGAATGAATTAGAGCTCAGATGTGTGCTCGGTAGCAATAAACAGCTTAATATGAAAAAACAGCCTGAGCAAAATATTGTTCCACAGATGAATGAGCTGACTGGTCTAATCTCTTCTTTCTCCAGTAAATTGGGACAAACTGGCATCATTACAGTGGATGAAGAACAAAACTCATTATCGCAGATGGCACAACTTAAACATCTCTATCAAATTCAACAGAAACGAGTTTAGCCGAGACAGAATGAGGAAGATAGAAACATGCACACGATTTCAAACTATGCACCATCGACTGTACCATCACCTTCTAATGGAAGAACATTTTTGACACAGAACTTATCGGTCTGTCACGATCCAGCTCCCATGTTTCCACGACCCACATTCTTAGCATCGCCATTTAATCTCGACAATAGAAATTCGCATGAAGCAGCTACATCTAACACAACATCATGAATCCAAACGTCAAAAAGTTTTATCCTTCAAATGAGGTTTATAGACTTGCAAACGACATGAACAACTATTAACTTATTTAAATTCCCATCGTAAGCAAGAAAAATCATGCATGTCTACGATCTCATTCACTATATTAATGAAGTTTCCAGGGGCTTTTGCTTTAAATGGTATTAGGAGCAATGATGGCACAAATTTTTGTTTAGCGAACTATTATCAAACACAATCCACTATTAATTTTTAGGCTGAAACAAAAAAATTCGGTGGCGTGGCTTTGGCGATCGATATAAATGCAAAACATCAGACAGTAGAAATATTAAGTAACATTGCAAATTTAATTGCCATCGATATCTTCAACAAGAATAAAAAATATACCATAGCTACAGTTTACTCTATGTCAAATGAACGGTTCAGAAGCGCCTTAATCCATCAGTTTTATAGATACAACAAAAATTTAATAATTGCTGGTGATCTGAACGCATGACATTGTCTTTGGCACGATGAAAAGAAAAATCAAAAGCGAGATCACTTAGCAAAGAGGCTCGGCGAACACGACAACATGAAAGTATTTAATGACAACAGACCAACATCCAGATGTTCTAATGCAATTAGTGATCTACATATTAGTCGAGTAGACATATTATTAGAAAAAGCTAAACCTAATCACCTGATTATAATCAGTGGTCACTATCTAGTGTTCTGGACGATCATTTCTATTACCTTAAATCGACATGAAAATTATTTTGTGAGAAAAACTAATTACAATTACTTAATGTCTTACTAGAAAAATTTCAACCATATTGACATGGTCAATTTAACTCAATGAAAAATAAGCCGGAGGCAGCACTTCTGTTATATGAAAAATTTCTCGTAGCTTTACAAGAGCAATGCACATCGTGTCATTTGGCTAACAAGCACCGTCCATCTCTACTCCAATATTTCGTCGGTATTTTGAAACATAGAAAAGAGATTCTTAAATCTTATTATCATTCAAAAAACGATGATCTAAAAGATCTATTAAAACAAATTAATCATTTTATTAAATCCGAGTTTAGAGCTATCAAACGTGTAACATGGCAAAAATTTTGTAGTACTCTCGAACCGAAAAAAACAGAACAATTCTGGTGAAGAACAAAAACTGTATTTAACATAAAAACTTTACTAATTCAAGGACTTATTCGATAAGACAAACTGATCATTAGTGATACGAATCAGATGACTGAACATGCATATAACAACTATTCATACTGTTTTAGAAAACATGTTCTTGATCAGCAGACTCCTGCCGATAAGGATGTGATGAATTGTATGAGACATTTCACGGAGAATGTGTAAAGGAATTACCATCTCCTCCATCCATGTTTAAAATGACAGATTTCAAAATGGCCATTCGCAATTTAAAAGTGAAAAATTCAGCTAGTTCCGATAAAGTGTCGAACAAATTAGTTAAAAATATTCCGCTTAGTCATTAGTCCTTTCTATTGATTGCATTTAATCGATTATTAGTTACTAATACATACCCAAAATATTGGAAACACGGACACATGCTTCTGTTACTAAAGGAGAAAAGTGTGTCGAGCCACTTCTAGGAATTCACTTCTATTCAAAATGCAGCAACTAGCACAAAAAATCCGCGCTGAACTTGAAACGTACACTACAAAATGGAAGCAGCCGGTAAACATTGATGAAACATATTATCAATGATTACACACATGTTCGAAAATGCCAGATGGCATACTAAAAATATCAAACATAGCACTCAAAAGAAAAACTTTATTCAAATATCTTGGCAGTTCGACTGATGAAAAATTCAGTTTCTCAAAACACATTAACATCTTATTGCCAAAATTAATACAAAATCTTGCTCCCCTCGAATATGTTTCTTATCCAAAATAACATCCGTTAAATCGAGATTGCCCATGTTTAATGCCTGTCTTCTTCCGTATATCCAATAAACATACTTGGTATGGCCAATGTTATCAAACACACTGAAACAGACAAAGGAAGCTAAAAACAGAAGCCTATTTAGAGTTAGTCATTTATCGATTGACGTATCAAACGATGAAATCTGACGGTCCGAAAAGTTCAAGTCGGTTTACGAACGAGCACGTTCATTCTGCTCAATGTTCCTTAGTAAAACACTAATCATTACCTCAGAGGCATTCGAATATTATATTCAACACAAATCAGTCAAAATGTACTTTACAGATACGCTAATAGGAAATTTAACGAAGCCTGACTGCCGCTATTGTGAATCAAATACCAGTTTTTTCCATAGGTCGCCCCTATGTCTCCACAATTGCAGATCAGTTTTCTCCATGAAAATAAAACACCATTTGATGCGTCTTGAACAGCTCTACAGTATGTGTTCATGTCAACTTAAGGGACCTGGCAGCCGGCTTCATGTGTTTAATACTAGATTATTCTATAAGTTATGGCTACGCCAAGGGAAATCTTGTTTCGCTTTTTCTATCAAAGTGAAGATCATACATAATTCGATGCGCCCGCAAACGCTCTACAATATGTGTTAATAGGAAACTTAATACAGCTTGGCAGTGGTTTTAGAGTATACAACACTGCGCCGCCGAAGCCTACAGTGGGTCTAAAAATTGCTCATCACCTTTATTTTCTCATCGATGGTAATATCTAGAACAAATCTGAAAAATGATTTAAATAGTTGAAAGACTTTCCGGTCGGAGATGCTGTCTAAACTGCTTCCATCAAAACTCTTGAAATCACGGTCTCTGGAAAACCAAAGCCTTAGAAAACGAACTCCTTAGGCTCAATCCAGAAATTCTTTGCGAGTACGTCTCCGAGCTCTTTATGACAGTTTTTCTTCAAACAACATTCAATTTACGCAGGGTCATATACCAGCAAAACTCACGGGAAAAACATTCCTGTTAACGCATATGGAAGAGCTATTCAAGACGCATCGAATAGTGTATGATTGATCGGGGATTATGCTTACTTTCATGGAAAAAGTGACCGGCACTTGTGGAGACATAGCGGCGACCTGTGGAAAAAAATTAGTATTTGATTCACAACAGCTGCTACCGGGCTTCGTTAAGGTGCCTATTAACACATATGGTAGAGATATTCAAGGGGCATCGAGTAGTGTGTGAGTGATTAGGAATTATGTTTATTTTCATGGAGAAAAGTGACCGACATTTGTGGAGACATAGCGATGCCTTTATTTTCATGGAGAAAGGTGTTAAAGTTTCTATTAACACATCTTGTAGAGCGTTTCAAGACACATCAAACGGTGTATTACACGAGGCTAAATACTGGACAGTTGTAGAGAAATATTGATTTTACCGTATGCTGATAGTGTTTATCGGCGGGTAGATTTAATTGTATACGTCCAGTCGGAATTGTCCCATAAAGTCAGAAGCACCGAATAAGATAACTTTCATGAGCTCTGGATACATTGAGGGAATAAAATAATAATAGTTTAGTGGACGGATTTCAAGTCTTGTGCGGACTACTCCTTAACTTTGTTTAAAATGATTGAAGAAAAGTGGAAAATCAAGACAGCGAAACTGAGGTCAACTGGAGTTGAGGAGATTGCGAAGTTTAAAGATTAAACACGAAGCAGTCATGTAATAAGTACGGCTTATGAAATCTGCTTTTGAAAAAGCTTCCGAATGCTTATTTTGCTTTATTTTCTGCTTTATTTAACGACCACCTGTCCTAAGGACAATTTACGCACATTTGGAAAAGATCAAAAGTCATTCTGTCGAAAAGAGGACCATTCTCTGACCTGAGCGAATCTCGTCCTCTCCCCCTCGATTTCGCTACTTGTAGTTTTCGGAAAACTAGAGGAGAAAATTTTTATCGAATACGATCACTAAAGCTTTGTTATCCCACTGACCTAAACTGAGCGGTTTATCGAGATGCCAAAGACTATTTTTGATATTAGGGTACTCCGTCACAATTTCAACAAAAACTACGTCCGATCCGTGAATATAAAATTTATCTGAGAGGGGACCGATTTTGTCTGTTGTGGAGTCCACTCCTTTATCCCACAGCGGTGACATTGAAATACAGCAAAAATTCAATGACAGTTATTATTTATTCCTTTCTTTTGTTCTATAAATATTTGTGCAAATATTACAACTGATAAACATGTGTGTAATAAAACAAAACAAAAAACGGGAAGAAAAACTTGAGTTTTCTACAACATTAAGACAATAACACAACAGTGAACTGGAATAAATAAATCGTTATCTTTTTTTTCTGACGTATATTATTCTTTTTAACATCGTTTTTCATAAAAATTCATGAGCAAAAGAGAAAAATGGAAAAACAAAATCATTAAACTTTTGGCATAATAGGTCGTTATCGAACATGTATTTTTGTTTGCAGCCTGATTGTTCATTTGTATTTCGTAAGCTGTTTCTTTATTTTAACACTGTAGAGTCTTTGAGTCAAACCAATCGTTCGTCAACACATTTTCAAGTTTTGAAAATAAAATAAAATAATAAAAGTAATAGTAAATAAATTAATAAATATAAGTAATAAAATAAAATAAGTAAAATAATAGTCTACGAAATACAAAATAGAATCAAATAAAAATATATGTTCGATTATTTCAAAAGTCCTGTCAATATTACAACCTGCAAGACAATCTGTTGTTGTTCTTTTTTCAATAAAGTTACAACATACGGAAGTTAAATTCTTTTTTTTAAAATAGACTCAAAATAATTTTGAATGATAGCACCAGCACCGGAACCAAACAATAAAGAATCAACTCTTGATATACTCTATGATTTATGTCGAGAAAATCAAGTTGAAAAACTTCAAAATTTGCTTACGGTAATCGATGATATTAACGTATTGAACACAATTCAAAATTCAACGGGTTCAACATGTCTGCATGTCGCATGTTATTATGGTCATAAAGAACTGGTTCAGGTTTTATTAGATCACGGTGCATTGTCTTCAGTTAGAAATTTAAGACATAATTTGACACCATATGAAGAAGCATCTACTGATGATATAAAACAATTATTAATTAATAAACGAATATTTTATTCTGAAACAGATTATGACCACATTCAATGGTCAATCACTGGTCATGATTTAATTGAAAAACGTCGAGAATTTCTACAAACAATGCATTTATATAGAACATACGATAATCATCATCCGATTATTTCCAAATTATTAGCAGAAGTGATTCATTATTATTTAAACGAATATTTAAAGAACATTTCCTTTATCAGTAATCCTGAAGATCGAATTACCGAAGACCAAATTAAAGTTATTGAAGATTATTTTCGTAAAGCCATAGACGAAAAAGATTATCTGACATATTTCATAAAAGCTTATACATTAACAGATTATTTTTATAGAATATTAAATAAACATTTAGCTATATATATTTTGCAATATTTTGATCATACCAAAGATTTTTGTTCAAATTATCGTTTAGTGAATTGTCTTGTACATATTGTTACTCTATTAAAATATCATCCAGACATTGGCAAGTATCAGTATAAAGGTGTGTGCTATCGAGGAATGAGAATTACAGAAAATGATTTGAATCCATATAAATTAAATCAACATATATTAAATCAATCATTTTTATCTTCGTCGACTGATTATGAAGTTGCAAAAATGTTTGCCGGTGAAGGTGCTCAGTCGGAAATGCGACACACTGTTGATCAACGTCCATTACAATTTTCATGTTTATGTCAATATACAATAGTACAAAATTCAACAGCTATCGATGTACAAGAATTGTCAATGAGACCAGCTGAAAAAGAAATTCTTATTCTACCATTTACTGTTTTTAAAGTTGTGAATATTAAACGAAATTATATTGATAATCCACAAGCACGAATTTCAGTTGAAATTGAATTAGAAGAATGTGAAGATCCAGGTAACAGCAGTAAAGAGACTTTGAAAAACGTTTATCCTAACTTCTTTTTGCGATTTTTAACCAAAAAACCTGTAAAAAGTTCATTTTTCAAGGAAAGGCAAATATTTTCACCTGAAACGACGAAATAGAGAATCTTTCTATACGTCTTTTTTATTCTGCTCTGAGAATTAGAAATCAATTATGGTTGTGTTTAGTGGTGGAACCAGAATTTCGGACCAGGAAGCTTAGCCTCAAAGATATATTAGCTTTTTAAGTTTACGAAACTTTTCTTCCGAAAAGATGTTTTTTGTTCATAGAAAAGCAAAAAAGGAAAAACAGCGTTCCATTTTTTACATCAAAGTTTAAAAGTGTGTGTGTTTTTGTTTGGTTTTGTGTTTTAGATGGCGACTCAGCGTTTACTTCATCCGATAATGACATTAGAAAGACAGAAGAATATGAAAAACAAATTAAGAAGCGAAAACGTCTTTATGCTCTTGTTGGAAGTTTATTATCAATCATTGTTTTGGCTTTAGTGTTAGCACTAATAATTGTATTTGTAATTAAAAAAAATTATGACGAAGATCCATATCTTTCACCAAAAGGTAAAATTTAAACTCGATACATACAGGTCATTTTTTCTCGTCTAAAAATAAACTAAAATAGAAATACATGGTTTGACAGCTCTCGAAGCCCTCAGCCCAAATATCTACTTGATTTTTGACTTACTGATTAGAAAGAGCAGATGATTCTCTACCAGAACATAAATTTCTTTTTATTACTGCTTCGGTAGAGAAGAGAACAAATAAGTAAGCAAAAAGAGTCTATTAGACGCATATTTCTTGTTGTTGTCTCAAACAATTTGAGGGCGTCTCGATGCATATATGGTTATAGTTTGTGAAATGAAAATATTATATCCATACGTTTCTGATGTTGCTCTTTAAAACGGCATTGTCCGCTTTCTCTCGTTTTGGCCTTCAACCCATCGCATCTGAAGAGGGTGTTACAGAAGAGGGGGTTGCATGAAGAGGGAGTTACATGTTTTAACCTCACGAAAAGAAATCAGTGAAATCTATTAACATTCTATATTCATTTCATTTACAATGCTACAGATCTACTATCTGTATTATGTAGACTGTTCAAGTATTTTAAATCGAAATGCATGGAATGCAACTAAATCAACAGCCCGTGATGATTTACCAGTGCCAGTTTCATACATTGTCGTGCATGAATTAACTGGTTATAATAGAAGTATGACACAACAAGATTGTACACAATATATAAATGAACTTCAAAGATGGAATATGGATATAAATGGTTATGCTGATATTGCACATAATTTCATTATATGTGGTGGTGACGAAAATGATAACAGTAGTCAACAACAAATTTATACTGGGAGAGGATGGAAAAGTGTAGGAGCACATTGTGTTACATATAATACTCGATCATTAGGTAAGTAAAAAGCTTGTGAGGCATAGCGCTTTCGGCTAAAATGTGAAACTGCTCCCAAACATATATTTCTGAGCTAAGACAAAAACCCTCTAACCGATACTCCCATAGAAGGTTGATACTAGCTAGTAAATTTACTTTTTCTACGTTTCATAGAGTATCGGCGAGAAAGGAATTAAATTTTTTCTATAATTTCTTCCTACATTCGCTTTCACTCGGAAATTCAGAAAGCTAAAATTTCACAAAAATATATATTGTTTACACTTTAATCGACTAATTTCAGTTTTTTGTCCCATTTGTTCAGGTGTTGCTATTGCTCGTGATTATACAAGTACGAAATCTCTGAATGCATTTAAATCATTAATGGAATGCGGTACAAAAAATAAATTCATTGAACAAAATTATACACTCGTAGGACATTATTACTTTCCAAATATTTATGCATTTTATTTGAATTATTTTAAAAATGATACTCAAACACCATATATTTGCCAACAACGGCCATCTGACAACGACACAATCGCTAAAACTCTAAAAAAAGTTGAATAGTTTGATTATTTTTTAGCCGAAAAAAATAATCAGTTTGCTCTACTAGGCTTTTCTAGCATTTCTACGTGTGTTTTGTGGTAACTTTTATGTCTGCTTTATTCCGTTTATTACTTGTTGTATGATGTGCATTGAATGATTCATATCTTAGATTGTTACATTATATATTTCAGAAATTCAAAATTGAATAGGTTAGTGTTTCATGGTTTTGAACAGAGATATTAGCGGAACCCGTCCATGATTCGGGAGAGGCAACAGATTTTTCGTCTGTCGCTTCGGTCACACCGAAATTTTTCCGCTCCCTGTGACAAATACGTAGTAAAAATTTGTAAGTATGTGAGGTGTAACGGCGGAAATGTCCGTCATTATTATTAACCGTTAATAATAATAACGGACATTTCCGCAGACATATCCAGTAAGACCTTACTCAATATCTTGATAAAGTAAATTGAATCATATAAAAGTTTCGAGTATTGTACTTTACGAGAAGAACAAATTTACAGCGATTAATTTCAATTCTTCATCTAATTCTCAACGTGTACGATTCTAGTTATTCCTGGTGTGTCAGAATGTCGGATTATCTTTCCCATAAAATGAATAGACATTTCGATGAACATGTAGGATTTCTTTTCTTATTTAATTCTAACGCATATTCATTTGCGGATATATAAGAAATATATCACAATTGGGAAGGCAGGCATGCATCATTTTTAAAAATCATGCTATTCTGCTCAGACCTTTTCTTCGGTTCAAGCTGCTGATGTAACGACGTTGGCTACTACGAAAAGAGTCAACAATCTACTTTTTGTACTCTGCAAGAGCATAAAAATGATTTTTATACAGGTAATTGTAGCAGTTCTTATTATTAGTCTTCCTTTTTTCTGTCCGATTCAATAAAATTGATATTTTAGATCTGTTCAATTTTGAAGAACTATATTGAATAACAGCAGTGCTCGATACAAGCTATAGATGGATATTCTTTTTCTCCTTCTGTTCGTTTACTAGGATAAAATACAAAAAAAGAAAGAAAAACATGTATTCAGAACGAAAAAAAAGAGAAAGCAATAAAAGGCGTTAATTTTCACATTAAACCAGTTTTTCCTCTATTTCTCGAAAACTAGACTTTGCACCTAAAAACAGACACCGAATTTAGAATCTACGTAAGAAACTGAATCAGAATACATATACCGGTTTCTTCCAAACCGGACGCAAGTATAATAGACTCGATAATGCTTAGTATAATAACAAATCAATAAATCTGTGATGGGTATATTTCCGTGCTGTACTTTTCTACGGAAAAGAGGTTCGTGCTGATATCCAAAGCCCGATTTCGATTTTCCAATTTCCTGGTGTTGTTGATTCAATGTTCTGGCATCCCTCGCCGGATCAAGCGCTCAGTATTTCCCAAATTTGGCCATATGTGAAGCTGTGCAATGGGAACATTTATGCTTGTATTGTTCTGAAAGCAATTTGCTTTCGTTTATAGTTACGAAACTTGTTTTCTGTGTCAATGTTTGAAGAAAATAGCTATAGAAGATATAGGTGTATATTCTCTTTCCCGTTCTCTCCGTTCAACATGAACATGGTGAAACGAACAGAAAGAAAGAGAACGAGAGAGAGAAAAGGAGAAGGAGAAAAATATCTAATTTCAAAGTAAAAAGGGTTTTTTTTTCTTTTTCAAAAACTAGACGTTCCACCGGAAAACAAACATCAGATTGGAATCTGCATGCAAAAAGGAATCAGAATATGTATGCTGTTTTTCTTCACACCGCCCCCAAAAAAATAAGCCTGATCTGCTATGACTTCTGTTTATATACCTTTATTGAGTTTATTTGTAAATAGACTGAAACATAAATGCGCTACAATGGATATATATATATAGTGCAGGAGTCAAAAGGAGAGTGACAGAAATATGAACAATCAGAGAGAGATATTGAACACATACAGAACAATTCACTTAAAGAAGAAGGATATGCAGCGAACAATAAGAGAGAGAGAGAGGCAGAATGTGACGGACTCGAGAAATGAACAATAGAAGTGATATAATATGAATGGAGTGAGTGAATGTGAATATGAGTGTCAATGGAAGAAGAGGTCATTATTCTTTCCAATTTACACCAAGTATGAAAAAGTAGAATAAATTAATTCTCTCATGAATTTTATTCTTGTTAGTATTTTCGAATTTCAGAAGTCATTTTCAGTGCCACTGATGTATGGGGAAAGTGGAGAAAAAGCAGTAATTTCCACGCAAAACCAGTTTTTCGCTCATCTCTCGAAAAGTAGACTTTGCACCAAAAAACGGACCACAGATTTGGAATCTACGTGCAAGAACGGACCAGAATATGTATACTATTTTCTTCTA